TTTTTGTTAAAAAAAAACTCGTTTAACCGTTATTATATTCAATTTAACCATTATTGTATTCAATTTTGTTGTACTTACCATGATACCTTGTATATTATGATGTTTAACAAAAGTTTCTCTTTTTCTGCTTCCAAAAAGAAAAGAGGGGAATTGTGGGGAGTGTGGGAACATATCTTGGCACACCCTGAGAGGACTGTAGGAACTGAAGGGGTATGTGTCTGGAGATACGAAAAGGCAAATCTCAAAACAAGGATATCAGCAGCTGAGTTGAGAAGATATGAGGAAGGAGCCTTGAAACATATCCAAAGATGAACCCTGGCAAGCAAACAATAAATGATGCACGCAAAGTCCATCAGCCAGTGGCTCTGCAGAAAAGGGCGTGTGAACAGCTCATGCTACGAGTAAATAGCCAATAACTTATTAACAGATGTGGGTGATTTCATTAGTTTGGGGTATAAATATAACTGTATTAGAACAAATAAATGGCTTCTTGCTTGATCATATTGATCGTGGGCAGAGTCCATCATTGCGTTCCCGCATGTTGGGACTTAACTACACAATACTAAAGGTAAATGCCTGGAAAGCTATTCACACTGCAGCAGTGAAGTCTTGGGTTTCATACAAATCCTTGTGGTTTCTTCAACACCACTTTTGACTTGCCACCTTTCCTTCCTGAACTGCTCTATATGGACACTGCCCCCTTCTGCACCAGATCCTCCTCTTAACTCCATTTGAGTATTTAAAGCATGACAGCAGCTTTTCTTACGAAGGGGAACTGTAACTGTGTATTGGGTCTGGCTGGGATGGAGCTGATTTTCCCCGTGGCAGCCCTAAGAGTGCTGTGTTTTTTACTGGTGGCTCGAGGGGTGTTGATAACACACCGGGGTTTAGGTGCTGATAACACACCAGTGCTTTGGTTACTGCTGAGCAGTGCTCCCACAGCATCAAGGCTGGCTCTCCAACATTTCCCTCCGCCCCTCCCCAGCAGGCTGGGGGTGGGGAAGGTCTTGGGAAGGGATATAGCCAGGACAGCCGACACAAACTGACCAAAGGGATATTCCATACCCTACAATGTCTGCTCAGAAATAAAGCAAGGAGAAAGGAGGCATTCGTTACTTCCATTTGTCCTCTGGGAACCACACCACGTACGAAGCCCTGCTTCCTGGGACGTGGCCAAATATCACCTGCTGATGGGAAGTAGAGAATAAATATTTTGTTCTTTTGCTTCTGCATGCGCAGCTTTGCTTTGCTTCTATTAAACTGCCTGTGTCTCGACCCACAAGTTTGGGGTTTTTTTGTGTTCCATCTTATTTTCTCCCCTCCTCATCTTGCTGAGGAGGGGGGTGATAGAGTGGGCTTTGGTGGGCATCTGGCATTCAGTCAGGGTCAACCCACCACAGCTACTTTTTAAAAGTCTTTGGAGCCACCAGAGCAGGTCTCTGTTGAGCTGCTTTCCCCTGGCCATGTGGGGAGACAGCAGCTTGCAAACTACAAGCCCTTTAGTTTGATTTCACTGAGTAGTATTAGGAATCATCACCGATTCCTGCTTCCAGATGTAACTTATGCTGGCAGATGCTGGACATCACCTAAGGCTTTCTTAAGCAATCCCATTGCACATACAGAGTCCTTAGTCATTCATCTTCCTCCAGCTGATGACCACATTTCTGCTTACCTGAAAAGGTCTCTGGTTTCATTTACTGGCTCAGCTGCAGTGTTACTGGTGAAGGGTGCATAGCTCAGGTGAAGGGGATAGTTTAGGACGGCATCTGACAGTCCAGATTATACCACAGACTATGCAGCTCTCCTTTTCTCTCCTCCCCAGTTCTTGTGTGACTCTGAGTTATCCAGTGAAAAACCTGGTATTTGTACACTATAGCATCTTTATTTCTGCCTTCCTTACTGCTTGCTTCGACTCTGAGCACAGAACAAAACATTTAGAGTCGGGGTTTACCATGAATGTTTATTGAATTCAGAATGCCACAACTACTTCATTTTACAGCTGAAAAGATCAACAACTGTCAACTTCTAAAACAGTTACAGGCACAGTCATAAAACAGATGCCATAAAATCTGTCTGTTGCTCTGACAAGGATGTCTAGCTGACACATCTATATGAGATAACTTACAGTATACATACTGAAGTACGTGGTTAATATAGCAGTAAAATCAACAGGTTTATAATTGTGTAAGCATTTATTTTTCTAACTGCAGTATTTTACTGATGTGTTTCATTGAAGAAAAGATTACATTTAAACAGGTTAGTATCTTTTTAGTGGTTAAATGTTTCTCCATTTGTTCTCACTTGTATATTGATATGCAAATCATTCCACATCCCAATAGCTTGATTAACACCAGAATTAGTTCTTTTTCTAGACTGGATAAGTTGGGTTATTTATGGTACTAAAAAGAGAAGTATAACTAACACACTTGCTTGTTTTCTACATTTTGTTTTAAATCAGTACAGCTTTGACAGTTACTGGCCAAGTAAAAACACTTCAGTTGCGTTGGAGAGGCTCTTGAACCATTACTTATCATGCTGTAACTAGTATTTTGTTTCTAATGTTACATCACCCCGATGTTTCAATATATCCAAGCTATCTGAAGTTCACCAAAGTACCAGTAGAAACTCATTCTATCATTTGTAGTCATTCATAGCACAAAAGGAAACAAGCAAGAAAAAGGGAATCAGAAATACAGTGGCAGCCTTATTTGACTGCCTGTGGTAACCCAGAACACTTTATGTGTTACATACTGTTAATCATACACCAGTGCTGCATTTAAGGAATGCAACCTTGTCCAACGTGGCAGGGTAAGACCTCTTCTTCACTTTGCTTGAGTATCACTCCAGACTATGGCTAAAGAAGCCCATAGACTTAGAGATTAATACTAACACCCCTTTAAAGCCAAGAAGCAAACAACAGAAAATGCAGACTTTCTCCGCTGCACAAACCACTGGAGTGTTTTTTCCCCATGAACAAGGGGGCACCGCACTCCTTCGGCACTGATCCTGCTGAGTGGATCTGCAGCCCTGTGGCACAGCCAAGCAGCTGAAGGGACAGGATTTCTCAGAGGAAACTGCTCTTGTCCCTCACTGCTGAAAAACTGGAAGTGCAGGAAAAGAAAAAAAAAAGTTTTGCATTCGTTGTTGGCTCCCAGCAGGAGCTTCTGCTCCTTTTGAAGTGTTCTGCTTAGTTTGGAAGTTTTAGTGCTGACTGTGCTTTGGAAAGCTGAGACCCTTGAGATAGCACAACTACTCCAAAGACAGCCATGGCACTTTTAGGTCCACCATCAATTCCATATCCTTTTCTGGACAAAGAAATGGAAGCGTCTTATCAGACTTATGCTATCCTTGACAAAGTACTAAGAGTTTACAAACCAAGTGAAAATAGAAACACCAAGCCTGAATTCCTGCAAGTCCCTCTCTAAATCTCTAGAGCATTTTGCCTAATGCAAAATGTAGTCACAGAGGTTCCTTTGAGCCTTCTGACAATTCCCTTCCAAACTGCCAGCACCGACTTTGTGTTTTATTTCACCAAGTCCCACAAGGGGGAGTTTTACAAATCAAAGTGCAGGAAAGTCTCCTGTGAGCTGCCCTGTTCTCCATGAGCTGCTGCAAGAAGAGCTAGCATAGTTAAGTCCAGAGGCATCAACAAGATACAGGCCCAACGACTATGAGATCCACATACCTTGATTTCCTACTGATTGGTTTAAAGTTTTAAGGAAGAAATGAAGAAGTGCAGATGCCTCTGTACATGGCGAGGACTTCTGAAGACATACCACAACCCAAAGCAAAGAACACGAGGAGAATTAAAAATCCATTCCAGTAGCAATGGAAATATATTCTCCTTGGTGCTAATTCCATGTATGTTTCAAAAGACTCACCTGTCTGCCTGCAGGCTTCACGCAGAGAGGAAACAGCATTTTCTATGCACTGTCCACGCTGTCTTGAGACTCCTCAAATCAGAGTTCAAAATAACACATAGAAAATCCAGTTTCTACCACCTGAGAAACTAAAGATACATCAGCAGAGAATATCCCACCGCACAAAGAGGAAAAGCCTTATGAAAGGAGACCCTGCTTTAAGTGAACAGCATGCTTATGCTCCCTACACAATGCCAAAATTCACTCCTTGAACTGCCCAGCACCCAAACAAAACACTGACGAGCCTTCAGCGTGAAGATGTGAAGCATGTTCTGGGTCAGAACATGAAACACAACGCTTCATCCCACAAACTATTATTATAGGGCACACACTACTGCTCTGCAGGATGTCTTCCTGAAGACTCTCTGGTGTATTCTCTGAGTCAATATCATTTATTTCCTGGTGATTCTGACAGCAATTCTTATCCATCAACTCTAAAAGTCTGCATTTCCATTCTGATGAGATTTGTCATACTGGCTTTTATAACTTAGCCTTGTAAGACCTGAACTTACTGATTTTAATAGTTCATTCTGTACCATCTCATGGAGTCAGACACTGAGAACACGTGTATTGCAAATCCTGATTATGGACAATGGTCTGTGCATAGAGAAAAAGGCAAGACCGAGACCTACCTCAAAGCCTGGAACCTGAATTTGTCAAGGAATTCTTCCTATTTCTTTCTCAAAGGGGCTATTGCTATCCATGAAACACATTTAGACCTGAAAATTAATTCTGGGTATCCTTTACAGCAAACCACAGAAGCCACAGCGGCTGTGGAATACATTTAACAATGGTTCATATAATAACTTTGCTTTTAGAAAGACAATCAAGGTCTTTGCAAAACCTTTCATCGTAGTTTTAGCAACATTTTACTAAATCACTATCTAAAGGCTTTAGCAATTCAGACCAAAGAATCAGCAGATTTCCCAAACTGCCTAAAAGAGCTAATGATTTTCATCTCCAACAAACAATCTTCAAGACATTTTAGACTAAGACATACAAAGAGTTGCTACAGGACTGATTATCTGCAGGTAAGTATTTAGGCAAACTAAATTAAGATACGAGACCCTCCTGTTGCATTTAGCAGAGAGAGAGAACAGCGCCACTGGAAAATAACCAGAAGGCAGGGTACAAGGCTTCAGTAAACTGGGTTTTGAATTTATAGATCAAGTTCTGCTTCTCCCCAACAGCCATGAAAATCACAAACCCTCCCTCACAGTGGAGCAGCACACCAATCTTGGTAGCCTTCACATTGGGTAAGCACTTTTCAACATCGTTATGCCAGGATGATATTTTGGAATTAAACCACTCAATACACCAAGAGCTGCTGTTCCTCCCCAGGCGGCTCTCCGGCCCCTGCCGCACCATGCTGCCGTAGCAGATGCCAATGCCACAGAAGTTGTTCTGCTGCAGTTCCACTTCCCAGTAGTGGATGCCTGTCTTGAAGCACTGGAACCCCAGCACTTGGAAGCAATCGGTGAAGCGCTGAGGACAATGGTTATAATTCAGGGGGATGTCAGAGACAGACATCTTGGTATATCTCTCAGACAGAATCACTTTGTTATGAGCTGTGTTGTAATCCAGAGTGATGTTAGCAGCATCTGCAATGACATGGATTGTCTGAAGGTACTGAAGAGCAAAGCACTTTTATTTATACCATCCTGTCTAGGCACTTGTTCCTGAGTCTTTATCTCCCTGCTGAGCTTTCCTCCACTGGGCAGGTGATCTGCGGAATCAAACCTTACAACTCGTAGGGAGTTATAAAGCAGGTAGGTTTTATTCGCCGGCGGGCGACAGGGTGGATCGCTCCATAAAGGCCCTGCACGCCCCCACTCCTTTACAAAGGCATTATTTAAAGTACACATACATACATATTCATTAAATTTAGGTTGAGTTAAGCTAATTAGTTCCAAGAAATTTTTCACATAAATTCATTCCCATTGGCGCTTGCTCACTGCCTCCTGTTGGTGCATGTGAGCCCCCTTTATCACTATAAACTGTTCGCCTTTTCTCCTTGTACATGCTCAGCAGCCCCTTGTAGACCACTAAACAAAACCAAAGCCAGCTTTCTTGCTTCAGACTGCAGGTGTTGCACACCAGCTCCTTCTTCTCTTGCTCCAGACTGCTCACATACCAGGCGTCACAAGGCTTTTGCTGTTAGTTATTGTAAAAGTTTCCCACTTAACACAGACAAAACGATCTAAACTAAAAGTTTCCCACCTAGCAGAGAGACAAATGAACTAAACTTATTTTCTAAAATCTAATTCTTAATATAGAAAAAAATTAATCTTAAACTCATTGTATAAAATCTAACTATATTTTATATGTTCGCTTATCACAGGCAGTTCTTAGGGCCACAGTAATAGCTGCTGGGTTCAACTGCAGCTCTGTGTTACACAGCAGGCAAATGGAGGGCAAGTTTCCTTCCTTCCTTCCTTCCTTCCTGCATCCCCATAGGATTCCTTCACCACCTAAATGTATGCTGGGAGAAGAAGGGGGTTGACTGATCTGGCAGTGAAAGGTATTGTATACAGTTATATACCTTATTGTATACAGCATCTTAAGCAAGTCGTCATGGGCTCACATAAAAGCCTGCATTTAATTTCAAAGAAAAATCCAGTGCGTTACATCCTATTTCTAGGCTACCTTAATGCAGTCATTCTGGGGGAAAACAAAGCCATTACTGACAAAACTTAATTTACCTTCATAAAGCTAAATGAATACCCAAGATAAATTTGATTTATCTGGCAAAAGAACCACTTAGAAACCTCCTGCACCCTTTTCCTCCAAAAATTTCCTTCATTTGTGACAACCACTTGATAACCTACTAAACTAACTAATCCCCCTCAAAAGTATTTTTGTCAGATAACTACAGAGGGCACATAACACCAATACAGTAAGTGCAGAAAGTTCATCTTTAAGTAGTGTAACTTTGGGTGTCTTACACTGCAAAAGCTCCTCTCTGGATTTCTTCAGAAAGCTGCTAAGAAGATCTTTAGTTGCAGCGGCAGCTGCGGCATTTGGTATTCCCGTGGTTGGTGCTGTGTCGACAGAGAAAAGAGAGTTTGGCCAGTTAGGAAGAAACCCTGCATGCCTAACACACCGTCACAGGCACCCCCAGGCTGGAGCAGACCTGTAGGGGTTACCTGGTTGAGCCTCCTGCTCCAAGCAGGCTTAACTTCAGTATTAGCTCAAGTTGATCACAGTCTTGTCAAGTTTTGAAAATCCCCTGTTGTCTCTGGGCAACCTCTTTCAGTGCTTGATTGCTCTCACAGTGACTAGTCAGAGCCTTCTCAGAGCTTAACACACCAACGCTAGTGACCATCTACTTATCAAGAGCAATCAATCAAAATTAGAATCTAAGTATACTGGAAGTTTGGACTCACCAACTTTAGCAGGCTTCTTTTTCTCCTCTGGAGGGAAAAAAAAAAAAAAAAAGTAAACTGTGAGTTCCACTGAGACTGAAAACCCACTTATAGACTACGCCACGACTAACACCTTCATCACGGCTCTTCTGGAGCAGCAGCGGTAGGTAAAGCTGAAGGCATGTACAAATATTTCCACCCATACTGGAAAGCTACACATGAAGCACAGCATACTATTTGATTCCTATTTCAAAGGCTCATAAGCCTGGAAGGAACTTAATCTCTTCTTCAGGATGCAGTGTGCTAAGGCAGGTGGTAATGAGCCTGTTCCCATGAGGCACACGGACTATTCCTTTTCTTTTTAGAACAGACCTTCTGCTACAGCAACAGGAGCTACAAGTTCATTCAACTCCAGTAATCCACAACACACCCTGTTGAGCGCATCACACCCAGGACTTGTGAATTGAAAAGACCATGGGTCAAGCGCTCAGTGGAAGTAAGAGAAGTAGTTTCTTAACACTTGGATTTATTTCAAAAAGAGAATATGGAAGATCTTCTAAACAGACTAGACTGCCACAGTAATACTGGACAAAACAACATGGAAAGGCCCCTGTATAACCTGCCATAAAGACTGTCTCTATCACCCCAGCCTTCAACTGTAGGCAAGATGTGGCCAGCAAGATGTTTGAGTAAGGCTGCTATTAATCACCACTTACTGGTATCTGCCTCTGCCTGCAAAGTGGCTGGTGTCTGGTGAAGGATTTTCTCTTTGTGTGTGTGCTCTTTTGAGGGAGGAAAAGTAAAAAAAAATCAGAACACGAACGGCTCATAAGCAGGATTCAATACATACAAATCCATCAAACAAGCCAACAGATGTTTAGCACAAATGAAAGAAAACCTGAAAGAACTAGAGGGTGGGGAGGCTCTGCTTTGCTTTACAGCCCACATTGACACCACTACAGGTGTACACTGAGGTAATGCACCATCGAATCTGTGCAGTTTGCTCTCTACAGCTCACAAGGCATCCACCACTAAATAGCCCAACACCCTCCCTTTCCCAGGCCAAAGTGCTCCCTACAGATAATCACTGCATCAGCACTACTGCCAACAGCTCTTGGGTAACTGCTTGAATTCTTGTTTAATGGTAAAGCCACAGTTAGGAGAGGATTATGTTCTTTAGTACTTACTTGGTCCCAAAGGCTTTTTGTCAACACAGGTTTTGTTTGTAGAAGCTGCTGGAGGGGGCTTAGTTTTCCCAGGTGTTAGTTTTGCTGCAATGGAGATATTTTATATTATGGTTTGTGTTGCCAGGAACAGTAATGCACGAGCAAGAACATTTTTCAATCTTGTTTTTCAGTTATGTGAATAGAGCTGAAGTGATACTCAGCAGAGATGGAAAACTGCACAGAAGACACCCACGCCCCAGTCCAGAAGATACTTTAGCTTAACCTGGTAAGTAGGGCTTTGTTCTACAACACTGACATGATCAGCACTTTTACTGTTGGGTAAAGCACTCACTCTAAAGCATTTTATGTTGCCTCTCAAATCCATATCCTAATTGCATCCAACCCTGCTACATAATAAAAACATAAATTACTGTAAGGAATAAAGGCTGAGCTGTGCCAGAAGAGCACAGGATCACTCATCAGCTTATCCAAGTATAGATAAAAGAGGCACTGGCACATTTGTTTCTCCTAATTTAGCCCTGACTGTAGCATTTTTGTTTGTAAATGGAGGACTGCAGAAGTTGGAAGACACCATTTATATTAACTAACTATATTTGCTGCACTTTTTTTTTTATTATTATTATATTTGGGTTAGAGGGGGAAGATCCCTCATTTGAACTGAAAACCAAGGCAGAAAATTCCAGTTCTCCCAGTGATGCAGTACCAGTACCTACCTTCTGCTATTTTCTCCTGGCACTGAGGCACTGAAAGTTTCACAATGTCTTTAAGGTTAATGGCTGACTGATAAACAGAATGTATCAAGTTTTGGTCCATTTCAATTACAGGGACAAAAGCGTCTTTTGTTGACATACGTTGCAGTGCTGCTGCTCTCTGAAACAACAATGGAAGATCTCACGTAGACCACTTTGTGTAGCAGCCGTAGAAAAACACAGCCAAGTTACTTTAAATGGGAAGAGTTTTGTGCATTCATCTCAAATTGAAAGGAGCAAAGGGTACAGTCAGACAGGACCCATGGCAAAATTTCAGCAGCCACCCACATGCATTAATTCTCAACTGATACATGAAGCAGCGAGAAAGATCTACTAGACAGTGTCACAGCACAGAGCTGTAATTCCTCATGGAATCACAGAATCACAGCATGTTGGGGATTGGAAGGGACCTCAAAAGATCATCCAGTCCAACCCCCCTGCCAGAGCAGGAACCTCAATGAGATCACACAGGAAGGTGTCCAGGCGGGGCTTGAATGTCTCCAGAGAAGGAGACTCCACAACCTCCCTGGGCAGCCTGTCCCAGGGCTCTGTCACCCTCACTGTAAAGAAGTTTCTTCTCAAGTTTAAGTGGAACCTCCTGTGTTCCAGCTCACACCCACTGCCCCTTGTCCTACCATTGGGCATCACTGAGAAGAGCCTGGCTCCATCCTCCTGACATTCACCCTTTACATATTTATAAACATTAATGAGTTCTCCCCTCAGTCTCCTCTTCTCCAAGCTAAAGAGCCCCAGCTCCCTCAGCCTTTCCTCATCAGGGAGATGCTCCACTCCCTTCATCATCTTGGTGGCTCTGAGGTGAGTTCTCACACCAGCTGACCCCTCTGCTTGTGGCAGAGGTGGTGGCTGAGTTGCAGGGAGTTACCAGACACCATTTCAGCACTCTTTCATTGACATCTGTGTACTTATCAGCACATCCTTTTATAGCAGGTTCTTGCACAAGACTGTGAGTGTCTGGAGAGCAGAACTGCCACCACAGGTTTTTGTGATTCTGCATTCTAGAAACATGAAGAATTGGATTCACATTCAAAGGACATATTACCTTCAAAAACAGAATGTCATCATCTTCAGTCAGTGCCATCTCAATCTGATCTCTGAGAGACTGAATTTCATTCTTCTTACTTCCCAGAATACCGTAAACATAATCAAATTTATTGCAAATTCTTTTTTCTTCTTCTGCAACTACTTTCACGGCCTGATTTTCTTTTTCTTCAATTAAAGCTTTAATTTCCAAAAACTCACTTCTGATCAAATCTTTCTTCCTGGAAGCTGTCTCCTGGAGCAGACAAGAACAGACAGATGCTGGTTTAAAAAGAACAGTTTGTGGACAAAGTGCTGCTCTCTACTACTACAAGAAAGCCTTTGAGGAACACGTAGGCTTCATTTCCTTCAAGCAGGCAATAGAAAAGCTATGTATTTCTATGTCATTTGGAAAGAAAACTCATTCTCCCAAGGAATCAGGACAATTCTCAGTTTACAGCCCCCTGCTGCGGGGGCTGCCAGACAGAGGCCAGGCCAGCCATGCCAGCTAGCAGTTACCAGCACCAGGACAGGGCTGTGCCACCACAACCTCAGACACCACATGCCCACTTGCACAGCTGTAGCTCTTTCTGCCTCCGAGACGTGACATCTGGTTAATACAAAGTTATTCCTGATCCTCCCAGAGATGTTCCAGAGGAGCACAGACGTGCTACCCCAGCAGCTTTCCAGTTTCTTGGTCTCCACCACTCAGTTCAGAAAGGAGGGTACAAGCGAGACACATCCAATCTGGCTGTCAGCACAAAGGGCAACGCCACTCATCAGGTAAGAGCAAGGATTAGTTGTGGTAATTATGGGGAAGAGACATCCCAGACTGGTGCAGCCGTTACAGCTCACTGATGCTTTAGCTTGGGCTGCACAGAGAGGCACTTTGTGGTTCAAGAGGAAGGGACAGGTTTGAGCCCCATTACGGGTCCGGTGTGTCAGCACGTGTGGGTGCAAAGCCTTTGCACAGTGGTTGGGCTGCTCCATCTCCCACAGAGCTGCCTGGCTCTGCCAAAACGCCTCCTTTCTGTTCCTTCCCAACAATGTCTTCTCCTGCCAATGCAATCTCAATGCTATGGCCACTGCCACAAGAGTACAAGCATCAACGGCACGCAGTGGCCAGCCTATGCCAAGCAACCTGACAGCATTTTGAACAGTTACCCACTTACAGCAGCTTGGCTTTGTTTTGTTTTCACGGTGTCCATGGCTCGAGCAGCTTTCTCATTCTGATTATGCAGCTCCATCAGTTTCTTCTTCAGCACTGACTGCAACAGAAGAGATCAGAAAGTACTTCAGAGAAGCAGTTGCCATGTCTGCTCTCAGTTGGGCCATGCTTACTGGAGTAAGAATTGTATTTACAGAAAGTTTTAAATAACCCCTGTCAGCATTTAGTACTAGTGATTTAAAACCCACTGCTCCTTAAATCTTCCAGGATATGAGCTGGCACCCTCCCTGCAGCTTCACCTCTCCCCACTGCAAAGTCCATGATGCTCACTCTTTTGATAAGGACCGAGTACTTTAACCAGCACAGCATTTCCCAGTGCTAAAAGTAAACTCTCAGGTTGGACTTTGAGCATTAGGTTAATGATGCTGTTTTAATTGAGACCTTCTTGTCTCAATTAAAACACCCTTCTTGTTTTAATTGAGAATTTTATTGCCCAGATGTGAATTACCTATTCCTTTAGTTCAAGATGTTGCTAAGTTACATCATGGAGGACTTGGTAGGGTAGGCAGTATACACACTTGCCAAACAGATGAAAGTTTGGCCACCTACACTTTTCAAGTGTGCTTTACTCACCTACCCTTTGATTTTCAGCTGTGCTGTAAGATACGAAGGCCAAGTTTCCTTCCCTTCCACTCCATGGAGAACCTGCTCCTGGCTTTTCTCTACATGCTGGTGCTCTCCCTAGGCTACTTCTATGATTCTTTGCTTCACAAGAACCTAACACAGAGCAATGCCTGTCTACAGGCCCTTGGTCAGCCAGCGGTAAAGCCACGCAGTGAATCCTGTGCAGTGAGCGGCAGAGGAGGCTCAGAGCTGGTGTGACACCCACAGAGGAGGGAGGCCTCACTGTCAGCCCAGCCTAAGACAGGAGCTGGCAATGAGCCCCGTTACTGCATCTCCTGGACTCTCTGAGCACCATCTTGGAGAGAGAAGAGGAAAACACACGGAAGAACTCCGCAGATGTGCTGGAACGTGCACTGGAAGGCAGGTAATGGTTTGCCAAGGCCAGGCACGAGAGTTACCATCCCGGTCTTGGTCCAGTCTCCCCCTGGCAGCCCACAGCCCCAGCACCCAGGGGCCCAGCAGGTCGAAAGGGAGCTCCGGGGTGCCCCTCGGAGGGTGCTTCAGCCCCGGGCAGAGCGGCCACCCCCACCTGCTCACCTCGGCGCTGGCTTTGGCCATCTGCACGGGGCTGGTGTGGCACAGCTTGTGCCCGAGCAGGCAGAGGGAGCAGATGCAGCTGCTGTGCTGGCTGCAGAAGAACTCGAAGACCTTGTTGTGCTGCGGGCACTTGCGCTGCTGCAGGTCGCGCAGGGGCGGGCAGAGCTGGTGGTGGCGGAAGGCCGGGCTGTCCCGGTGCGGCCGCAGGTGCTCGGGGCAGAAGGAT